GGCCCCTCCGGCCGGAGCCGCCTCCACCGCCCACGTGGCACGGGCTGCGCCCTCCGGTGGCGCAGGCGCGAGCTCCGCCAGTGTGCGGGCTGCGGAGCCGACCTGAAAATGAAGTCAACTCCTTACGGAGTTAAGTGCAGGGGGACGCCCGCTCGGCCTGTGCTCAAGGGCAGATGCTCCCAGGGGTGCTCTAGGATTCCTAGAACTGCCCCGGGTGAGAAAGGGAAAATGAGCTAGGCAAGGTGGACTCGCAAGAGGTGACTGTAATAGTCAGTCAGCTAGGGTACTAGCATCTTCATCATCCACCCATCCGACCATCTGTCCACCCACGCTCCATTCTTCCACCCACCAATCCACGCATCATCCATCCATCCATCCATCTGCCCAACCTTCATCCATCACCCACATCTTCCATCCGTCCACCCATCGGTGCATCCGTCTCCATCCATCCATCCGCTCTTCATGCATCTACCCATCCATCAGACATCTCTCATCCATCCATCCACCCATCTATCCAACCAGAGAAGGCCATATATGTATCAAGAATAGATGGTCAGCAAAATAAATATGGACCTTGTTCTCAGGGACCTTCCAGCCTAGAAGGGAAGTCAGGCATAATCACACAGATAATGTAATTAGGAAACAAGATGAATGCTGTAAAGAAGTAAAAAGTGTTGTGAGGGGCGCCTGGGTGGCTCAGTCTGTTAAGCGACTGCCTTTGGCTCAGGTCATGATCCCGGAGTCCTGGGATCGAGTCCCACATCGGGCTCCCTGCTCTGCAGGGAGCCTGCTTCTCCCTCTCCCACTCCCCCTGCTTGTGTTCCCTCTCTGCTGTGTCTCTCTCTGTCAAATAAATAAATAAAATCTTTAAAAAAAAAAAAAAGGTGTTGTGAAATTGTACCGGGGAGAATGTGGGACCTTAACTCACCAGAGAAGGATTCTTTTTTTTTTTTTTTAAAGATTTTATTTATTTATTTGACAGAGAGAGACATATTGAGAGCAGGAACACAAGCAGGGGGAGTGGGAGAGGGAGAAGCAGGCTTCCCGCAGAGCAGGGAGCCTGATGTGGGACTCGATCCCAGGACCGTGAGATCACGACCTGAGCCGAAGGCAGACGCTTAACGACTGAGCCACCCAGGCGCCCACCAGAGAAGGATTCTATGGGCAATTAACATTTGCACCAAGATCTGAAGGCCAAGTAGGAGTAAGGAGGTCAGGCGGGAAGAATTCTCCAGGCAGAGAAAACAGCATGTGCAAAGGCCCTGAGGCAGAAGAACTGAAGAAAGTTGGGTAGCAGAAGTAGGGTGATGAAGCAGGGCAGTGGGGGAAGATGGGGCCAGGTCATGTAGAGGTTGGCAGGGCACAGCAAGGACCTTGATCTTTATTCTAAAATAAATGGGAGGTCCTTAGAGGAAGTTAAGCAGAGAAGAGACATCATAAAGTTTGAATTATAATGAGATCCCTCTGGCTGCTGTGTGGGGAATAGATGGGAAGACAGCCAGGTAGGAGCCTAGGACAGCCAGTTCAGGCAAACCTGTGGTAGCAGGTAAGATGGAGAGAAGCGAGTAGATACAAGAGACATTTAGAAAGTTAAATTGTCAGGTCTGAGGATGGATTAGGGATGGGGAAGGAGATGTCAGGTGTCAAAGGATAATTTAAAAAAATAAAGTGATTTTCATACACATATACTGGTAAAGTGAATGCATGTCAAAGATTTTATGTAACCTAATAATGAACGAAGCAATAAGATGTTGCAGCTTATCGAAGGAGAAGCCAAGGGACTGCTGAAATGAATTTGCAAAAACCAGTCTATCCATAGGGCAATAGTCAACTGTATTTCACTACACTCAGCTAATTTGTGTATCTACAGACGAGAATTATTTGCATTGCTGTCTGTTTCCTTCCGAAGTATGATATAATGCAGGCAAAAACAAAGGCACACAGCCCATGGAATCAAATGATTATCAGAGGCTCTGAGTTCTGTTGAAAGAATATCCAATAACCACTTTTGTCATTCTAAAGTCTGAAAGCTCTCCTTACAAAAGGACGGCCCTAGCCCCTGCATAGATGCTCAGACAAGAAAAACGGAGGGAGGTGAGGAGGGGGAAGACAGAGGCACCCAGCTGGAGGGGTCAGTCAGTATCCTGACTTGGTACATTTGAGGCACCATCAAGTTGAGGTGATGTCAGCGAGATGGCTCTTCAGCGGGGGCTTTAAAAGTAAGCAGGAGAAGGATGTAAAAAAAGGTGGGAAAGGGGTCCCAGGAACAGGGAGACATTCAAGCAGAGGCACAGAGGTGGGAAAGAACCAGATATGCACGGGGAACAGCGGGGGTCAGAGAGAAAGAACTCAAGGGTTTTCCCGTCCATCATTACTACGCACACTGCAGCGGTGTGTGGGTTGCTCCACGGACTAAAGGGAAAACTCCCTTTTGGTGGTGTCTTCCATAGAGGATTTTACTCCCTGAGGACAAGAACGGGTACTCTGGCACAAAGGTTGTGGAGGTTGAGGACCTGACTACAATCCTCGCTTCCCCACCTACTAGCTGCATGACAGTGGACAGTCACTGTGCGTTTCCATGCCGCAGTCTCCCCAGCTGTGCACCTAGCACCTGCATCCTGGAGTTGTACTATGGAGACCGAATGTCATTTTATCGGCCCCAGGCCGGGCATGCAGGG